GCATTGAAGCCTTGGGACAAGGCTTTTCATTAGACCAGACTAACTTTGACCTTCATCCATAAATGATCTTGACCTTCAAGGTCAAATGTCCAAATTTTGCTTGTTCTTGCTATTATTGGCTATAACTTTGCTATTTTTGAATGGATTGTCTTCAAACTTGTAAATAATAATCTTCAAGGATAGCCCTTTAAAATAACCAGACAGACCCTGACCTTCTCTCATAAATGACCTTGACTTTGAAGGTCAAATTATTAAAATTTTCATTGTTTTGTTTGGCTGTAACTGGCTGTAACTTTTCTATTATTGAATGGATTGACTTCATATTATAACAGAACATTCTTAAGGACAAGACCTTCTTGTTATCAAACTCAAATTGACCTTGGCTCCTTTATGACCTTGACCTTGATGGTTAAATTATTGAATTTTAACTGATTTGTGCATTAATTGACTAATTGACTTAATTGGTGTATATATAAATACGCAATTTATATATATATATATTTATATATGCGCATTGAAGAATAAAAATAACTACTGCACTTTGATCTATATTCTACCACATTAAGACGACATGTGAAGAGAAGAGTTTGAAGATACACATTCATGACCGGACTGTAACTTTGTCATGCATGAAAGAATTTCAAAATAACTTGGAACAAATGTCTTCCACATCAAGACGATGTGTCGTGGCTAAGGCTAATGTCCGTTCGCCGTCCCCACTTACACAACAATCATGTCCAGACTGTAACTTTGTACTGCATTGAGGGATTTTGAAATAACTATGCACAAATGTCTATCACATGACAATGTTGTGTCGCGTCCAAGAACCACGCCCCTTTTCAAGTGTCAATGACTTCTATTATGAAGGTTCACGCTATCACAATTAGTGCTTATAGGTACACACATGTGTGTCCAGACAATAACTTTGTCATGCATCGAAGGATTTTAACGTACCTTGGCACAAATGTCAACCACATCAAGATGACTGTTGTGTGTAAGACCCATGTTCCAACCTCTAAGGTCAAGGTCACAATAATAGTTTGAAGGTACTTATGCTCATAAAAAGAGTTTGAAGGTAAATATTAGTTTTCAAACAGTGCCATTCATTGAAGGATTTTAAAAAAAAATGGCATAAATGTCTACCACATAAAGATGTGTCGCATCCATAATCCTTGTCCTAAGGTGTTAAGTTTGCTATAAATACATGTAGCACTTTATTTCACAAGAACTATATTAAGCAATTAATTACTTTCATTCTCTTCTCTATTCATCATACCTGCATGCTTAAGAAACCTTTTCACTGTGCATACCCATATCGGTACCCTCTTTGCGAAATCTGCTCAAACGGTACCCTCTTTGAACATGCACAGGTCATTCTCTGCTAAAAACAAACCATCGATGGATAACAATCCAGTAAAATTTCATTGTAATAAGGAAAGGAGGTTTGACACGTAGAAAAGATGTATACCACGGAACACTATAATGTTTTATTTATGTGCTGATTTGTCATGTGCCCGATTTTCATGTACTGTAACTTCACAATAAGCTACAAAAAATAACAATGAACTTTCACTGGATTGTTATCCATCGATGGTTTGTTTTTAGCAGAAAACTATATTTTGTCAGATTGTCGACACCCGACAATTGCAAACGACGACCTTATTTATTTCCTTGATTTAAATATTAAACATAAAAAACCGTTGAATAACATTTTAAAAAGAAACATTATTAGCGAACAAGTTCCTTTTTTCCCCGGCATCATGAATTCTGTCATACTGCACTTTGATCTATATTCTAGAAAATACGATCCGTACATATAAGAAATTTCAGAACATTGGCTTTCAAGTCGCAATGCATATTTTATTAATAGTATTAACAGTTATTATTATATGTTGTCTCTGATAAATCCGCTAGTGTGTCTCTGATAAATCCGCTAGTGCGATTAACAGTTTTGCAACACGAGGCGCTGTAACACGAGGCGCTGTAACACGAGGCGGTGTTGCTTTAATGTGGAATGTTAATATAGTCAGTTTTGTTTCACAACTACATATTGATGATGATAAACTATTAGGTATACAGGTGCAAGTAGGGCCTTTACAATCTATGTATATTTACGGGTTGACCTGCCCTCGAGGAATCATTCTACGGATTTTATTAATAAGGTATTTGATTGTTGGTCAATGTATAATGAGTTAGGAATAATCCTCGTTATGTATTAATACCTATGTTACTATATATAGTAACAAAATCTAGGGTATTTCAGGTACATTATGGCAAGATCTAGGTCATTATGCAATTTTGGCCGCCTTGCTACTCGGCATTATTTTTCCATAATGGGCGAGTGAATGGGCGCACGTGCAGAATGACGTAAACAGTGTTCAAAGCTTTTGGCAATGGCGTCGGGTGAAAAAACACTAGAGTCGATCGCTAACCGAATTATGGATTTAGACCATATTATTGATCGTAATAAGAGAAATGTAACTTTTGAAGACACTATCAATTTTGTGAATTCTAAAAAGAATTCGTCTACAGTGTCAAAGACAAGAAGTGACATAAAAAAGTTTCGAGAGTGGCTGAAAATAGACGGTGAAGACAGGGATATTGAAAATATAGATCCAAAAGAACTCGATATGTATTTATCTAGATTTATTCTAACTGTAAGAAATACCAAAAATGACGAAGAACTTGAACCCTCTACGATTCAGGGGATAATTTCGTCTATCCGAAGATATCTCGTTGACGTTGATTATTCAGAGGATCTCACAACATCACCTCACTTTAAACATACGAGAAATACACTAAAGGCGAAGGCAAAAGACCTCAAACAAAAAGGACTGGGGACCAAAAGATACAGATCAGATCCTTTCACGAATGCAGAAATTGAGACTCTTTACGAGAAGCAACTGTTAGGCGGAAGTAAGTTCCTCGGCTATTCATATTTTTTATTTATTTATTTGCATCTAGTCTACAGTATATAATATTCAACATAATAATAAATAATAATAATAATAATAATAAACTCTTTGTATCATAGTTTGGGGACCTTTCTGTTGAAAAAGTGTCAGAGTTAAATCGTATACATATACATGCTCAGTGCGGTAACTGAAGTGCAGGTATCAGTTACCCGCACTCCAGATAATGCCCGTTGATTGGTTCATTTTTGCTGGGGTTTACATATTGTGACGGCAGAGAAAGGGAAAAGGGCAGAAATATCATATTCAAATGCTCGTTCATTGGTTCATTTTTTCTGGGGTTTCGTATTATGACAACAAGGAACGTGCTGTCATGTTTGACTATGATACAAAAGAGAAAGAACACCAAAACACTCGGCAATCTGATTTATACTCGGGGGCTACGCCCCCTCGTACAAATCAGATAGCCTCGTGTTTCGGTGCTCTTTCTATTACTTATTTAACGAAGGTAACTTATTAAGACAATACATCAAAGCATTAGATACAACACATATAATGCAAAATCTTATTTTCAACAAGGCCTTCAATAAAACATAAACATAACAACGGACATATTCAAGCAATTGTAAAGGTTACAACATTCAGTAAATCTTAATCAACAAAGAAGACAGACATAATATTATATTATAGTATAGGTAAATTTTCTATAATTCATCTCTAGATAACAATAAATGTTTGAAATGTGATTTAAACAATTTAAGACTTGAAAGATTTCTTATTTTTAAAGGAATAGTGTTCCATAACTCCATACTAGAATAATAAAAAGTACGTTTCAAATAATTTGTTTTAGGTCGTTTATGCATAATATCTTTTTTGTGTGTTGTTCTTAGTCAGTAAGTTTTATTTTGAGATAACGGAATTAGATTAGAAATATATGCTGGCGTTAATTCATTCATCGCTTTATATACCATAACTCCAGAAAAGTATTTACATCTAGATGGAAAAGATAACCATTTCATATTTTGAAACATATCAAGAGAATTTGTTTTTACGGGTTTATTTAAAATAATTATGGCGGTTCTTTTTTGTAATTTTGTTATTCTATTTAGATCTGATTTGTTACATTGGGACCAAATAATACATCCATAATCAAAAGTAGGGACAATGTAAGCGTTATAAAATAATTGTTTCATGTCAGGTGTAAGAAATATTTGAATTCTTTTCAGCAGAAATATTTTAGAAGCAAGCTTAGAACACGTTTTGTCAATATGTGTTTTCCAAGATAGACAGTTATCAATATGCAATCCAAGTAGCTTTTGACAATGAACATTATTTATACTCGAATTCTCAATATGCAGAGAAAGATTGCCTATGTTATTTATTTTACATTTTGATCCAATTATCATGCACATGGTCTTTTCTGGATTTATGGCCATATTATTGAGAGTGCACCATTCCTGTATTTTTAGTAAGTCTAGTTGTAACTCAGACTGTATATTACTCAAACTTTGGTTAGCTATGTGTAATGTTGAATCGTCTGCATACATATCAATGTCTGAATTCGTAGTGACTGATATATCATTTACATATAAAAGAAACAGTATAGGACCTAAGATTGAGCCCTGTGGCACGCCTGATATAACCGGTAAGCTTTCAGATTTATCATTGTTGACTTTTACAATTTGCTCTCTGTTAGAGAGATATGACTGGAAAAATTGTACAGAGTTTTCAGAAAAATGATAAAGTTTTAATTTATGAATCAGTATATTATGGTCAACTAAATCAAAGGCTTTTTTAAAAATGAATACATGAATACAGTTGTACATGAGTAACATAAAACCGTCACATTTTTATTTTAACTCAACAATGTTTTTATTTACTTTAAGCATTGTTAATTCCTGGGTAAAAAATTTACATGTATGTTTGACAGATATTTGTTTAGTAACCGTAAAGGGCGACAACTTTGACAAGTGAGTAGGTCTAAACGCCGTAATTTCTAAGGACTCGGTAAAGAATACAATGGAATAGTTAAATCCTATAAAAAGAATTGTATTATTACCATATTCTGTTATAATTTACATACCTGACTAATGAATTTAAAAAGATCATGTAGAATGAATATTTGAAGTTACTTTAATTTTATTACTGATTTCAGGTAACCCAAAAGCTCTTATTTCAACTATCTGGTTGAATAACACAATGCATCTAGGCTTGCGAGGAAGACAGGAACATGTTACCATGTTATGGGGTGACCTTGAGTTGCGAAAGACGAATGGCACAGATGTGCGGCAATATCTTGAATTTACAGAGAGGGCAACCGAGACCAGGAAAGGTCTAAATGATGAGCCAAGAATGTTTAAACCTAAACTATGGGAAGAAAAAGGTAAGCCATATCTAGTTTTTTTATAAAGGCAAACTTATTATAGATATATTTTCAAAAAAGTTTTAATTTTAGATAAGAGTAAGTTTTCTTATACCAATAATAACAAACGTGACATATATTTGATAAAATTATTAATTTAGAAACTAACTGTGTTGAAAAATGTAAATAAATGAAATTAAACTGAAATAATATTGTTGTTTTTTACAGATGATCCTCATTGTCCCGTGAAAATGTACCTGCTTTATGAGAAAAAACAGACCAACAGTTGACACAGAGAGTAGGTTCTACCTGCAAGTTAATAGATACTGGCAAACAAGGGGCAATTGGTTTAACACTTGTCCTATGGGTAAAGATTCCCTCGGTACAATTGCCAAGGCTCTAAGTGAAAGTGCCGATTTCAGTGGATAACACACAAACCATTCTGGAAGAAAGACATTCATTTCCAATCTTTTAGATAAAGGTGTCCCTCCAACAGAGGTTGCTCAAATTTCTGGTCATAAAAATTTGCAGTCACTTAACCATTACCATTCCTTAAGCATTGAACGCCAACAGGAACTGTCGGAGATAATACATGCACCGCAAAAGAAAGACACACCTAGGACAAGTGAAACAAACTTCAGAACTGATTAAATATCCGACAGTGAACTAGTTAACTGCTCACAGGAAGTTGAAAAAACACTTCAAAGTATTGAAGTATATGAAGAAGTTCAAGCAACACCAAGGTTGAATGTAGGCGTTTCTCAGAGTCCAGGCAGCACTTTTACTATGTCTCACTTTAGGAATCAACCACAGTCCATGTTCAGTGGTTGTACTTTCAATCAGCCTGTCAATATCATTTTTAAGAACTAATCTTTCAAATGAACAATTTACTGATATGAGATCAGTTTTTTTTTGTATCCACAGATATAGTATTTAAGGTTGAGTAATTTGTCGGCGCATCCATTGACAAACAAGAGCCATGTCAACATGGCCATCCCCCGCCGAATGTGTTTGCTCATTGGAAGAATGTATATGTAGTAGAGCAGAATAACTCCATTTTAAGAGGTCTTTTGGTAATGAAAACTGATGGCTATAGTGATTACAGATTTGAAACCTATGTGAATACTGATGGCTGAAAATAACAAAGGGCAATAACTGAAAAATAATGCAGGGTAGGTTATTATTCTTGTGTGCTGCATCCCTCCTCAGTAAAATCTATCCACCTATGAAGTTTCAAGTTGATACCTCAAATACTTTTAAGAAAAAAATTGAATTGAAAATTAAGTATGAAAAATAACAAAGGGCAATAACTCAAAAATTATAAAAGGTAGAGTTATCATTCTTGTGCACTGCACACCTCCTGAGTTAGATCTATGCACCTATGAAGTTTCATAATGATATCTCAAAGCTCTTTTGAGTTATGCTCTGGACAAAAATTAATTTTGAAAAATAACAATGGGCAATAACTAAACAATTATGCAGGGTAGAGTTATCGTTCTTGTGCACTGCACTCCTCCTCAATGAGATCCATCCAGCTATGAAGTTTTAAGTTGTTACCTCAAATACTTTTTGAGATAAGCTCCGGACAAAATATTATGAAAAAGAACAAAGAGGAATAATTCAACTAGAAATGTGTCCATAGGACACGGATGCCCCCACACGCCACTGTTCTGTCAATCTTATGACTCTAGGTCAAATATTTTTTGGACTACATGTGCCACAAGTTGAAAACTAAAAATCAACAAAGGGCCATAATTCTGTTAAATTTGGTCGCAGCAAAAATTCCTTCCTTTACTACCATCTACACATTAAGGTTGTTCATCCCTGGAAGTTTAAGCAAAATCTGCCATCCGGTTTAAGAGGAGTTGCGTTCACAAAATTTCTACATAGTATATAGTGAAAAAATCAACAAAGGGCCATAATTCTGTTAAATTTGGTCGCAGCAAAAATTCCTTCCTTTACTACCATCTACACATTAAGGTTGTTCATCCCTGGAAGTTAAAGCAAAATCTGCCATCCGGTTAAAGAGGAGTTGCGTTCACAAAATTTCTACATAGAATATAAAGTGAAAAAATCAACAAAGGGCCATAATTCTGTTAAATTTGGTCGCAGCAAAAATTCCTTCCTTTACTACCATCTACACATTAAGGTTGTTCATCCCCGGAAGTTTAAGCAAAATCTGCCATCCGGTTTAAGAGGAGTTGCATTCACAAAATTTCTACATAGTATATAGTGAAAAAATCAACAAAGGGCCATAATTCTGTTAAATTTGGTCGCAGCAAAAATTCCTTCCTTTACTACCATCTACACATTAAGGTTGTTCATCCCTGGAAGTTTAAGCAAAATCTGCTTTCCGGTTTAAGAAGAGTTACGTTCACAAAATTTCTACATAGTATCGATGTGAAAAAATCAACAAAGGGCCATAATTCTGTTAAATTTGATCGCAGCGAAAATTCCTTCCTTTACTACCATCTACATATTAAGGTTGTTCATCCCTGGAAGTTTAAGCAAAATCTGCCATCCGGTTTAAGAGGAGTTGCGTTCACAAGATTTCGGGACGTACGGACAGACGTACGGAAGTTCTAACAGGATAGTAATAATGTGGCTACTCTATTGTTCTCTTTATTGTTCTTTTTAGCCACGCAAAAGAAAATAGCCACATAAAAGCATTACGGAATGAATGACATCAAAGAGAAAGAACAGTTACCTATTGTCCCTCTAGCCACATAATTACTGTCCTGTGAGTGCGGACGGACGGACGGACACTCGGACGGACAAGTGCAACGCTATATGCTCCCACTCTGTGGGGGCATAAAAATTGTATAGGGAAGAGTTATCATTCTTGTGCACAGCATTCCTTCTCAATAATATCTATCCACCTATGACATTTCATGTTGACATCTCAAACACTTTTGAGTTATGCTCCACTCGGGTGAAAAATTAGGTATGAAAAATAACAAAGGGCAATAACTCAAAAATTATGAAAGGTAGAGTTATCATTCTTGTGCACTGCACACCTCCTGAGTGAGAGCTTTGCACCTATAAAGTTTCATGTTGATATCTCAAAGGCTTTTTGAGTTAGGCTCTGGACAAAAATTAATTTTGAAAAATAACAAAGGGCAATAACTAAAAAATTATGCAGGGTAGATTTATCATTCTTGTGCACTGCACTCCTCCTCAATGAGATCCATCCAGCTATGAAGTTTCAAGTTGATTCCTCAAATACTTTTTGAGATAAGCTCAGGACAAAATAGCATGAAAAAGAACAATGGGCAATAACTGAAAAATTGTATAGGGAAGAGTTATCATTCTAGCGTACAGCATTCCTCCTCAATAAGATCTATCCACCTATGGACATTTCATGTTGATATCTCAAACACTTTTTGAGTTATGCTCCACTCAGGTGAAAAATTAAGTATGAAAAATAACAAAGGGCAATAACTCAAAAATTATGAAAGGTAGAGTTATCATTATTCGGCACTGCACACATCCTTAGTGAGATCTATGCACCTATGAAGTTTCATGTTGATATTTCATAGTCTTTTTGAGTTATGCTCTGGACAAAAATCAATTTTGAAAAATAACAAAGGGCAATAACTCAAAAATTATGCAGGGTAGAGTTATCATTCTTGTGCACTGCACTCCTCCTCAATGAGATCTATCCACCTATGAAGTTTCAAGTTGATAACTCAAATATGTCGGACGGAAGGACGGACGGAAGGTCGGACGGACGGACGGACGGAGACTATTACTATATTTCCCGCCGCCTTTTCGGCGAGGGATAAAAAAAAGAAACATTATTTACATTTGCAATATTTCTTTTTCCCGAGATATACTTTTTGGCAGATATACAAATAAATGCGTAAATGAAATAAAAGGTGTAAATGAAATAAAGTTTAAATTTTATTTGAGTTCGTTTTATTTTTTACTATTTAATGAACTATACTTATCATATTTTACAAGAATTTAAATGCTAGACAAGTATTTTATATTGTCACCTATTTTTGCCTTCATGGGACCGCAAATATAAAAGTTTCTAGCCTTGTAAAATATAGCGGACAATACATATATATTTAGTGAACGAAATTCCGATTTCAAGGACAATACATATATAATAAGTGAACGAAATTCCGATTCCAAGTTTAATAAAAAAAAAAAAAAAAAAAAATATATATATATATATATATATATATATATATATATATATATATATATATAATAACATAGGTATTAAAGACGTTAATACTTGGTTGCTGCTCGCATTAATGCGATAATGACCCTCGAGTCCATAATGTCCTTCGGGCCTACGGCCCTCAGGCCATTATGCACATCTTCGGGCCATTATCGCATAATGGCGAGCAGCAACCAAGTATTAACCTCTAAATGCCAATTACTTCAAGCTTGGCTCAAGATAAAAAGCTGCAAACAAAGTCATCCCTCAGAAGCATTAATCACAACAAAATTACAAGAGAATTGCAGACTCGGTTTGATTGAGTCTGTACATGAGGAATAATGAATGCGTGCAATATCCCTCACGCCCCCTTGCACCGGCTTGAGCGGTACTCAATTCTCAACACTGAATAGTGCTTGCATCAATGATTCCGAAGGACCAGAAAAATATAACAACACTGAAGTGAAGTACGGGGCAACTTTTCACAGCTGTCACACAGCTGTTGTGAAGTATAAAAATCTGGAAACATATGTCAAAACTTCTTATAAATACCAATTTATGGCCGGCTAATGTAGGTGACATGCGCCCTGGAGCCATTAAAACATTTGTATCATATGATGATTGCTACGAAACGCTCATAGACTATAAATTATTTACTTTTGAAAAGTTGCAGTATATGGAAAACCATGACTGTCTTATATTGTTATTTTTAATTAATTTAACCATTTGGATAATATATAAGTTCCCTTCGACAATATATGAATAACAAATACTTTCTTATTAAACCGTAAACCATTATATTAATCCAAAGTACAATATATGAAACCATGTCATCAGTGTATGAAACCAATGTAGCTATATAATTGTTGATTTTCTCAATATAAGATACCAGATCTTCAATATAATATTATGGTATCAGAGTGGCCATATATGGAACCAGATAACCTTATATGAATCCGAATTATCAATGTATTAATTCTTTTTTCAATATACAAAATCAAGTCGTCAATGTATGAAACCAAAGTATCAATATATAAGTTGATTTCACATAATATGTTACCAATTCTTTAAAGCATATGTGCACTTTGGCCCCACTCACTGCGCATGCGCGAGATTATTTTGGATTATAGTTGAATGGCATTACGCAATCTATTGTTGGTTTCGTTTTATAATATATATACGTAGATACGTAATCAAGTAGTGTGTAAATATAATAAATCTTATTAGACGCGTTTTATAACAAAGGGATTCAAATACGAAACAAAGGTGTATTGTTAGTTAGATTATTTATATTTAGTGTATTACAATAATGACAAATAGAGGATATTTGTTTAGTGAGCACCAAAAGGTATTATTTCACGAGTGGCGAAGCCACGAGTGAAATGTGAACTTTTGGTGTTCCACAAGGTGAAATATATTTCGATCTTACACTAAACTAAACAAATGTTCTGTTTATTATATGCAAAGAAACGTTTTAAAAAGACATTAAACCTAATACTGAATGAAAAGCGCGCCAAAGAATAATACAACGTGACGTCATTTACGACGTCACGTCATTAAGTTGGTACCCAGTACTGTGCACGCTGGTATTTCACTGAAACAACGTAAGGGGCTTAAATTCAAAACAGTGAAATTATCAAAGTGGTAATTTCACTGTTTCAAACAGTGAAATTACCAGTTTTATATCACTGATATATTTCTATAAACCAAGAATAAATATGGATGAAAATTTGGTCAAATTTGATATTAACTGTTGTTTGTTATACGGAATAGTGATATCCCTCTTGAATAGATTCTTGTGAG